GTTGAAAATTATTTTCTATACCGCAATGAAATTTCCGTTGCACGTCATCAATGATGAAAATTGTTTATCAAATTGAACTATAGTAGTTTGTGCAACAAAAGTGGATATGATTGCCTACAGCGTCGTGCTCAAACTTCGTCTTCGTGCGATATCGACAACTCACTCGAGTTGTACAATAGGAGATGTACGAGATGTTCAAAATTGTCGCGGCGAACCTCTTGGTAACATTCTAATCTGAAATAAAAATGTCTGCTAACGTTACTCAACATCTCAGGCGTGACCGATCTAATCGCAAGCGTTATTCGTCTTCTTAAGTCAGCTAGGTGGAGAAGTTTAGTTTTGTATAAAATACTTTTGACATATCCCCATAAGAAAAAGTCTAATGATGTCAAATCAGGGGATCGTGCTGGCCATTCCATCGATCCTCGTCTCCCTATCCACCGATTTGGAAATACGAAATACTCGATTGAGGTACTGCCGGACATTGATTTGGTAATTGGGCAGTGCTCAATCTTACTGAAACCATATCATATTCGCTGGAACTTGTGGGTTTGCTGGATCGGGATATAAGTTCGTTAAAGTTGGCACGACATTATTTTAGAGCAGTGCTAAATAATTATCGTCATTCAAATTGCCATCAATGGAAAAGGGACCTATGATATGATCGCCAATAATTCCTGCCCAAACATTAACCTTTTCAGGGTATTACGTATGTTCTTCTCTCATCCAGTGAGGATTTTCCCTAGACCAATAGCAGCAATTTTGACGCTTAGCATGACCGTGAAGTGTAAATGTACACTCATCAGAGAACAAAACATGTTCTAATTGGATCACCATATTATCTAACATTGCCATCATTTGTTCACAAAATTGCGTTCTCCTATCAAAATCATCTTCCGTGAGCTCCTGAGTTGCTATTATTTTATTGGGATGCATTTTATTTTCTTTTAATTTTCGAATAATCAATGAATGGCTAATATCGAACATTAGAGCTGCTTGTCGACTAGAAGTATGTGGGTTTTCCTAAAACTCAAGCATCATATTCAATTTGCTATCATTAGTTATTGCATTGGCAGCTGTTTTTTTATCTGTCTTATATATCTAAGCTCGCGAAACTGCTTCTCTAAGTTCGAATATAGCCGATAGCTTTCTTGAGATCTATAGTTTTCAGACGCAGATATTTAATTAGATGACCTTGCTCAAGATTGATGCTATTTTTAACCGACTTCAAAAAATGAGGAGGTTCTCAATTCGTCGCGATGTTTTTTTTATGTATGTTTAGCGATAATGCTTTACCACCTTGTCCGATTTATATGATTCTTTTTTGTTAGTAAGGGGATACCTCAGGGGTAGTCCCATATAAATTTGGTTAAGATGTGGTGATGGCATCTGCACGTTTTTGAAGTCTTTTTTTTTAATTTTTAATTTTTAATTTTTAATACTTGTTTAATTTCTGTATTATTAATCCAGTTTTCCCATTTTACTCTAAAACGTTAAAAATGTCAAAAACATAAATAAATGTAGACTAGAATAATTGATTGATAAACTGAATTATATTTTGAATACATTTAATTGAAATTTCCTTATAAAAATCAATAAAAAATAATGAATCAAACCAGATAAGTAAAACTCCAATTTATATTTTAAATACTGTTTACTCTTTATTTGTTACTCAATAGCTATTTATAAATTTTGAAGTAGGAACCGAACAATTCATAAAAAAGCAATTTGTTCGCAAGTTTAAAATGCATGGCAATAACTCTTAAAGTATTAAGTAATTATGGTGGAATGTCCATTCATTCTGGCCTGCCCTGCTTTTATGATTATAGATAACACGAGGTGGCACGTTACCAATTATTTTACGGTACTCTTAGTAACAAAGCTTCAGATATGGCTCTGCAGAAGCCCACCGAAAGATGCAAATTTTATTTTATTTAACCAGAAAAGATGATTAAATTTAATCAAGGATAAAAACAGAAATCCTGAACATTTTGTCGATTATATTTTGAGTTTTTGCGAAAAGGTCTTTATTTAGAAAAATATGGTTTGTTTGTTATGAAATTGTCACCTACAAAATAACTAATTTCACTGGGAATTTAATTAGCTATAACAGCGCATCGTAATTTTTAGTCATATTTGCGTAAAAAACAATTAATAAAGGTCTTTAGGAAATTAGAATATTGATTCAATATTTGCGCTCATAAGCAGCCAATGAAATAATTACAAATGGTTACCTACAACGTTGCCAGATATTATTAATTAAGGCAGTTCACTCCCGACAGTCCTACATAAAAAAAAATATCGCCTAATAGTGAATACCGAGGTGAATACCAAAAGTTCGAGATTCTTAATGCTAAAAAGTGTTATTTTTGTGAGAGACTGTACACAACACATGTAAACTTATATATACGGATACGTTATGATTTCAAGTAAAATCCATCTGGCAACGTCGCAAGTATAAGAATGGTGGGCTATTCGCGATTCAAGCTGAGGGATACGCCCTCTGCAGGAAATTTGTAGATGGTCCGTATAAGTAGGATATCATTCAGTGTTACCAAAAGTAGCAAAACTTCGCTACGTCGTCGGATTTTAGCTCTTGAAGAAGTGGATAAGACCATTTATTTAAAAATCAAAATTTGTGTGTGGTAATATGTAATCATACTCTATATTTATTTAAGGATTTTTTTATAAAACCGATTTATTATATTGATTTTTTTTTTAAATTTCAGTTCATTTATTAATTTTATTTTAAAATCAGTTCATCATTTGGCAACATTGGCGTTCGTGTTCATTGTTTACATTTTAATTTGTATCAATTAAAATTCGAGTTTTTTCTTACTTTTTAGCTTTAAATTTGTTTAATTCTTATATTATGTGATAGCGTTTACATTAAAAATGAAATCTGCGAAAAAGTCCCCAGAAAATTGCAATCTATATGGTGTTAATGTCAAAATCAAAACTGAAGTATTCAATATTTTCCAAGTGCAAGTCGTAAAATTTAGTTTTTTACGATAAATGGATATCTACAAATTCACAATATTGAAATTTTACAAAACTTTGTTTAGAATCAAACTGTAGTCTGATTTGTGACGGTTTTATTACCATTTACATGTATACAAAGTACTACATGATTCACTTCGTAATATAAGAATAAGTCTAGTAAGATTTTTAAATAAGTTCATCAATAATAAAGGTGTGGTACCTAAAATGTCCTTCAAAACTACATAATAAAACATGTTCTGAGTTTAGTGAATACATATTTCTAGATGTTCTTGTAGCAACCAATAGGTGAATATTTCCAACAAATAAGTCATACACATTAAACTTAAATTAAAACTAAATGAAACTCAAAAACAGTATTACAATGAGAATATTATCTAAAAACAGTTAAAAAAATCACAAATACAAAATCCGCCCAAAACAAAAACATGTAAATAAACAAACATCCTACTTATAGGTGACAAATGACAGGCGCGCGAAAATTAATTTGAATCGCCAATAGAAATTTTGTACTTCCTTATACTAATTTTAAGAGTTTGTTTTAGTTCAAATTCCAGCTCTCAAACACCAAGAACACGTCGCGAGGTTGTAACAACCTCTTAGCTGATCAAGTGTAATTCTGTTACCGCGCGTTAAGTGTAGCGATTCCAATGTTGCCAAATTGTAATTATTTTTTTTTTTTAATGTCGTCGGCTTTCACTGCTAAGGTTATTTCGTCTCGTGTTTTGTGTAGGCTTTGTTACTGTTTCCCAGCGCCACTTTAGGAACAGCACTGTTAATTAGAACCCAACAGTGAATGGTCGAGTGGGGAATCCTACCAAGGCATCAGAATTAATTTTAAATAATTAAATTAAATGAAAAAATACCGGCCAACGGTGGGATTCGAACCTGATACCTTCCGATCTCAAAGTCATGACTCTAACCACTGAGCCAACCCACCCCTAGTTGTAATTATTGTACGCAACTACGCGTCGACTGCCTTAAAAATATTTTAATTTTAAAAATATATATCTTTTTACAAAGACGGTCAAAAATTCAGCGTTTTTTTTTTTTAGAAAATTTTATAACTTCTTGATTTACATTACATAAAAAATATAGTAATAATCGTTTTTGAGATATCTTGAAATAAATACATTGCTTGTGTACAAAACAGGCTTTAAGAGTGTTAATTATGCAAATTTTAATTGTTAATATCTCGTTTCACAAACGGTCAAAAAATTTATTTTTTTTTTAGTTGCGTAAAAGACCCTTTCATTAACCTTATATTTAAATTTTATTGAATTCTTAAAAAAGGCCGTTTTACGAGTGAACTACCTTAAAAATACTATTATAATAAAATTTTCAGTTTTTATGTCTTACATGTCGGAAATATTGCATATTACTTGCCTAAAACTCGTGGAAGATTAATTGAAATACACCGCACCTAAATATTTTTCTACATCACTCTTCCTACAATATAATTCACCGAAGGATTAATAGAAAAATAAAATTAAATATGGGGCTACAAAATTTAAATTATTTGAGTTTATTGGTAGTTACATAGCACGAAACATATAACTTTAAATTTTAATAACAATTTATCCGACTTCCACTGACAACAGAACGGCAACATTTTTCTAACGTATTTAGTAAATAATAAAGATTCCTGTATAAGCTAATTAAAAAGAATGTCTAGGTAATGTAGTTAATTATAAGTAATAAAGCTTAGGCATTTATGGAGCTAATCATACCTGCTAGTTACCGATACCATTAACCAGCTCATACAGAATCCCTTATTTACATTACATTTGACGATACCATTTACAATATGACTGATACCGATGCTTTATTTATTTTAGTATAGCTGTCCTCCATGTTATATCGGTTGTCTTATACTCTTTTTATCTGCTGCAATGAAATAAATTTGTGATCTATGAGTTGCCTCTCTCCCTTTTTTCTTAGATATTTCCAAAAGTTTATTACTTATTATTCGCTTCGGCCAAAATAAATTGTGTGTTATTCTAAAATATTTGTTTATAAGGGCTTGTATTTGTTTTGGTTTTGCTTGTATTTGTTTTGGTTTTGCTTGTATTTGTTTTGGTTTTGCTTGTATTTGTTTTGTGTTTTGGTTTTGCTTGTATTTGTTTTGTGTTTTGCTTGTATTTTTTTTGTGTTTTGCTTATGTTGTGCTTGTGTTGTGCTTGTATTGTGCTTGTGTTGTGCTTGTGTTGTGCTTGTGTTGTGCTTGTGTTGTGCTTGTGTTGTGCTTGTGTTGTGCTTGTGTTGTGCTTGTGTTGTGCTTGTGTTGTGCTTGTGTTGTGCTTGTGTTGTGCTTGTGTTGTGCTTGTGTTGTGCTTGTGTTGTGCTTGTGTTGTGCTTGTGTTGTGCTTGTGTTGTGCTTGTGTTGTGCTTGTGTTGTGCTTGTGTTGTGCTTGTGTTGTGCTTGTGTTGTGCTTGTGTTGTGCTTGTGTTGTGCTTGTGTTGTGCTTGTGTTGTGCTTGTGTTGTGCTTGTGTTGTGCTTGTGTTGTGCTTGTGTTGTGCTTGTGTTGTGCTTGTGTTGTGCTTGTGTTTGTGTTGTGCTTGTGTTGTGCTTGTGTTGTGCTTGTGTTGTGCTTGTGTTGTGCTTGTGTTGTGCTTGTGTTGTGCTTGTGTTGTGCTTGTGTTGTGCTTGTGTTGTGCTTATATTGTGATTGTGTTGTGCTTGAATAGAGAATGCTATCATAGTTCGTTGAAAATCTCGACATTCTTGTAATCCATGAAATCAAAATAACCCAACCCGAGTGTACTGATTACATGTGCACACGAGAAAGATTGAAATATCGAACGGTTTCAGACTGTTGCGAAAAATAAAGAGTGCGGGGAGAAAACGTTCCACCAATTAGATTTAATATTCACATGTGCCGTGAACAGATGGTGAACGAAGCGGTGGATCAAGGGAGTTGGCTCGCTTTGATATCAGTAATTGATAGGATTGACGCGCGTGTTTTAATTTCTAGTCTTTGGCGAATTGTTTTTGGAATTGATATTTTATAATTAAATTATTTAAAAAATTATACAATTTAAATATGTTTGTTTAAGAGGAGATATTCAAATAGGCTCTTATTGTAGAACCGCCACTGAGTTGTTAGATCTCTGAGTGCTTTACATACCAAAATGCGTCTTCTATTGCCCTTAATATGTTCTGAAAACGTATTATTTTCTATTGATCAATTAATATAATTTCCCACATTTAATACCAAACTCTTCCCGTTTTTTCTTTATATGTTCTTTCCACTTTATTAATTTCACATCTAGGTTCATACCTAAATTTTTTTACGAATTAGAATATGGTATTCAAGTGTTGTTTAATATTCTACTGATCTTTCATTAGTGAAATTAACTTATGGAGTAAAAAAACATTTAATTCAAGATAAACCACAGCAGAAGAATATTCCTAACAATAACTTTTATACTTCTAAACTTTCTTTTTTCCACCTGGAATATAATACTATTTTATTATTAAATTTAAATATCGTCACAGAAATTTCTGGAGCAAAAAAGAACTCTTTATTCGACATAGATAGTAATTTTCTTTTCATTATATAAAGTACTCTTATCTGATTGTATACACTTTTTAGAGTCCCGTTTTAAGCTGAACATTACTGTTTCCGATGTTGCGATTGAAAAAACTGATAAAATGCTTTAAGACTTTGATGCCAATGCGATATTAGATGCTATCTTGGGCGCGATTGTTAATCGATGAATAACTTACTTTTTGATTGATATATTTAATGAGAAAAAAGACGTAAATTGGTATTTATCTATAATATTGCAACATAATCGACAGAAACTCGTGGCAATAAAATTTCAACTTTATGATTTTTAACTTTTATAAATAATTAAAGAGTTATATCTAAAAAAATGTTAGTTTGTTCTATTACTATACAATTAACTAACCTTACATGTCTTTTCATTTTATACATCTTAACCATTTGATTCATTACAAAAAAAATATTTCATAGAGGTAGGTACAAAGAGGGGTCTAACAAACCTATTTATGTCGTTTTTATATAAAACCGAAAGATACAGTCAATTTTAAATATTTATATTAAACTTGTAATTTGTAACATTATAACAATCATCATGATTATCATCATCATCATTTAAAACTTCCAAAATCAAAATTCCCTCGATATCTAACATCATTCTCTCGATTACCTCTTAATTCCGAAAAAGTAAGGTTATAAAGTTATTTAGAATGTATATTTCGTTTACGCTATAAATAATGATTTTGCTTTAACTATGTTTTTAATCCAAATTACACTTTTAACTTAAACGATTCTGCCATTGCTTTAATTCTCCATTAGTGTCGATTGTTTTGCCCTTTACCTGTTCATAAGTCACTACAGAGACCAACTTATAGAGGATCAATACTAAAAGATTTTCTTTAACTAAATTAATCAGTTTTTTATTTTCATCAACACAGTATGTTTGTCTGCCATCTGTAAAGAACTATAAATATTAACGCAACATTTATGTGAGCAGTGCTGAGTGTTACCAGAAGGAAAATCAAAAACGTATCAGAAAAACCTACTTAATTCTCTAAATAGTACTAGATTGAAAAAAGTAGTAAATGTACTAAAAAGTTAAAAAGTACTAGATTTAGTAACAGTGTTAAAAAATAAATTCAATAAGGAAGCTGGGAATTTTTAATCTAAAATCTCTACATTTATTTATCTAAATATCTACATATTGCAACGTAATGGTTAGTTACTGAGTAACTATCTAATTAAATATGGCCATTAACAAAGAATATTAAATACTATTTAAAAAAGTAAATAAAAAATTGTTTTACTATTGTCAGTTCTGATTTTTAAACTACAATTTTTTTCTTAACTTTTTTAATAGTAAAATGATCATAAAATATATGGTTAAAACAATTCTACTTTAAAAATAACCCTTAATAATGCTAATAATATCAATATCAATTACTACACTAGGAACTAGAGCAGGTATAGAAGTTGGAAAGGTTTTTTGGTAGGTGAAGAGGTGGTAAACGTCAAACTCCATCGGACGACTTCGACAATTTCGCGGTAATGTTTGTTTGCCAGTGTCGTATTGAAGAACAAAAATAATACCAAACATTTTAAATTATTACTGGCGGAAATGGGCAATCGTATATATTTATTGGCTATAAATAATTATTTACACAAGCAATAATATTCCAAATCATAATTCTACAAAATTTCTACAGCTATTCCCAATTTATTAAACTATATTTACGCGAAATTGTTATTATCATATATAAAATAATTTTCTACGCCAATGTTTCGGTTAGCTCCGCGGCGAAAAGCGAAAAGACTTTCCAACTTCTATCCCTTCTGTAACATACATTTTGGGCAAACGAAATGGATTATTTAATTCTAAAAATACTCTATGAATTATAAATATGTAGATTTACTTTCAAAACTCCAAAATTACTAGAATCTATTAGGCATAGCCGTACTTTTACAGCGAACATGTAGCAACTACGATATCCCCGCTATCGCTATGCACTCTAGCTTTGTACCGCTCATTCGGTTCGGCTAATATATCACCATTATATATTCTAATTTTAGTCGACGACTGGCTATTGCCCTGTTGCCATTTTATTAACTTGTATACCAGTCGTATGCCTGACACTGTATATAAATAGGCAAAGACAATAGTTAAGTACAAATTTCTCGTCTGTTTGAGAACCCATTTTCTTTTTTTTTTTTTTTTTTGTTTAGTAGCTATTGACAAGGTTTAGTGTTATAAATAAAAAAATTGGAAATTGTATTTTTTCCAACCTTTGATATATGAAATTCATTGATCCACAATTATTAATTATGATTGACCAATAATATTAGCTTCTAGCAAACGATGAGCACCCTCTAATTTCGAAACGACATGGACAATATTACATGGACGGATAGAGGATCGCGAAAAATGAAAAAACAAATTACTTCTTCCCCCACCCTTCTAACTTCACCATATTCCTTTGCCACGCCTAAATGGTAAGGGATAGAAAAAACTAATAGCGCCTGAATCCATTTCAAATCCCCAGGAGATGTCGATATATAGGACCGCTAGACTGAAGAAAATGAACTTCGAGTACGATGGATTATGAAAAATTGTTTTTAGAAATTACACCTTAAAGTCGCACGCCTTTGGGTTCTGGAGATTATCTGTCCACCCCCCTCACGCCCTCCAATCCCCTACTCACTCCACCCCCCTACTCTCTCCACCCCCCCCCCCCCCCCCCCCCCCCCCCCCCCCCCCACCCCCTACTCCTTCCACTCCCCCTAGTCTACCCTACTCCACACACTCGCTTACGCTGGTTTTCACGGGCTTTCGCGGTTTTTTTCGAGCTTTCGCGGAATTTTAGGATTTGAAGTGGCTCCAAACTAGGAGGGAAAAGGACCCATCTATCAATAACATTTTTTTAATGGTCTCACGAAAAATTATTGCTTTCCACAAACACTGTTTGCTATCAATGACATATTTTTTAAAATTATAATTTAGATAATATTCAAATTTTATATACTCGTAGGTACGAGATTTTATTCACGAGAATTGTATAAGTAGTGGTTGGTAACTGTATTTTTCGAATTTTCACAATCTTTGGGCTAATTATAATGATTTTAAAGGGTGTTCAAACGTCGAAATATAATTCCAAACCTTCTTGGATCTTTATTGTGGATTGACCACTTTTTCAAGTCGAAATTCGATTGGAAATTGTATTTTTTTAATTTTCAAACTCTCTGAGCTCATTATAATTATTTTAGGGGGTGGTCAAACGTCAAAATATAATTTTAAATCTTTATTGTATCTTCCTGTCAATTAACCATTTTTGAAGTTGGAAATTCGTTATTAAAATTGTATTTTTCGAACGTTCACACTCTTTGGACTCATTATAATTATTTTAGGGGGTCGTCAAACGGCGAAACATATTTCTAAACCATTGAGGATCTTTATTGTGCCATTAAGTCGATTGACCATTTTTCCCAGTCGAAATTAAATTGAGAAACTGTTTCTTCGAATTTTGACCCCCTCTGGGTTCTTTTCAATTATTTTAAGGAGTGGTCAAACATCGATACATAATTTTAAACGTCTTTGGATCTAAATTGTGCCTTCCTGATGATTGATCATTTTTTCAAAGTTGAAATTCGTCCCAAAACTCTGGTTTTTCTATCAATTAAGACCATACTGGACATTGAAAATGTCTAATTCGTTTCGAGCCTTTATGTTTAGTCCGATTTTTTAATAATAACAAAACGTAGGGTGGAGAAACCTTGATTTTTTTATAATCCTTTGAAAAGTATTCATTTTGATAATTTTTAAAAGGAATTTCAAAAAACCATTTACGCGTTACTTTGTTTTAAATCTATGAAACTGTACTGGTTTTTGTTTTAATAAATATCTAGTAGTGTTTAAAATTAGAGGATTTCCCACCTTTTTCCTTAAATGTCTCTGTAGAGTGCTGCCTTATCGTTGCAGAAATTTAAAGCTCTCAGTATTCTCGAAGCACATAACATCGCGAAATATTCCCCGTAGCGCACTTATAAATACAATTTTATATTAGAAAATCGTTACAATATTTTTACTTTACGCGAGAAGTCCGGTTTTCTCTTAATCCTTTAAATTTTAAATTATTTTAAGGCTTAGTTAAAAGACTCTAATGGGCCGCCAAACATGGTCAAAAATTGTCAGTTCCAAGGT